CCTCTTGTATGCTGTACCTTAAAATTGGATATTGGATAAATGCATTATTTGTGAGATATAAATATTAATATTTACTCACTCTCTCTACAGTGAGGTGTTTCGGAAATATATTTTTGATACGACGAGAGTTGTGGCGGAGTTATTCCATTTTATTACTTCACGAATGTGATATAGAATACTTATTAATGGGGATATCTATGATTTATTAAATTCTTCTATTACATTTAGCACATTCTATCTAAATTATTAGATTTGAACTAAAAATGTTTTATAACAAAATGATGGCTTAATTAATTGCTCCACAGAAAGATTCAGAATTGCAATAGAAATATTGTTATTAAACATTGCATTAATCTGAGCATATATATCATGTAATAAAAATTGGCATAGGCTCATCATATTAGATTCTGATTTTTCATTTTCCTAATAATTATTTTTATGGGATCAAATAAGAGGAATGAAAATTAAACTCAACTAAGTTGGTTATTGGGTGTTGAAAACAATAAAGATATATAAATTAAGTCTGCTTTTCTTTTGTAAAATAGGTAAAATGAAAATTTTGTTGAGAAAAGTTGAAAAAATTCCTGGACTGGATGAATAGCGTGCATGCATGCAGTCAGTCATTCAGTTTCTAGATATCATAAATTGTAAACTGAAGATTATTAAGGTGTTCTGTTTCTTGTCGTGGCTAGGAAACGTTTGTAATAGAGATCATAAATTCCTGTCATGAGTTAATATAGCACTCTGACAATATTTAATCTGAGAGTGAGAGAAATAAATCTGGCAATTTCATTTACTTTACGGAAAATGAAAATATAATTTCCACATTTGCTCTAAAGAAATGGCTCGTTTATAGACATTTGCAACCTAATGTGAGAGATATTAAATACAGTTTCCGCGGAATATCTATGAATTCGTAATGATTGTTTAATCGTCGTGAGTTGACATATTGGTTTTCATTGTCAAAACTGAAATGAAATGTAACAATAAAAATGTCTTTGATGATGAGTCCCTGATGTAGATCTACCCTGAATCCGCTTTATTGGCTAGCTGCATTCCACTCTGACTATTGCGGTTGATTCTGATATTGGTTCAGGCCTATAGTGAGATTTAAGATATGAAATGAATTGTAAGCTGCTTTAGTGGTAGAAATATCTTAAAGAAATTCTTGAAGAATTTAAAGAGGAAGGGTGGCATTTAGCTATTGTAAAGGGCATCAAGTAAAACTGAATTGACTGAAGAGTAGATTTTATTTCAAAATTCTCATTAGGTTCATTTGAATTATAAAATATAGGTAGTGCCATGGTTTACATTGCTCTTAAATCTTTAAGCAATATAGAAATAGTTTCTCCTTTGTTTTAACTTTTAACCCTGAATAGTGTTGATCACTGGGTTACAGGAATCAGTTGTAGAATGTTAGATTTTCAAATGGAGTGAGCAAAACTGAAGAAAGTCGCTGCAGATAAGAGTTTTGCATTTGTTTCAATTCAATTAAGAATCTATCTGCTCCATTTTTAAAGGTATCTCTCAACTGCTGATATGGCTAGAATATCAAGGGGTTATTAAATACATAGACCTATTTGATTAGTGCCCCCTATTGGGAGATACAGGCCCAGGGACTTGATCCAATATAAATTAATAAAGCAATGAAAGGGGTTATCCAAGGTTAATTCTTAAAACTATACATTGTCTCAATAACAGACCAGTTTCCAGTAAATGAAATCTAAATGAGAATTAAGAATGAATTAAAACACAACAAAAATGAAGACATTCAGCAATATATAGCCAAGCGGATGATTCAGGCATTTTAGATGCAAAGAAATATGTTGCAAAATTGTCTTAATGGTTTTTTATGACTTCCAATTATTTCGTTTCATTGAACAGTTACTGTGTATTTCACTCCAGCAAGTTCCTGGTAGAAATCTCAGTCTCTGTAGAGAATTTGACATATTTTACAGCTATTTTCATGGTTCTTATTCACAAAGTATCTATTGTGACAGAGAAAGAGAGAAAGGATCGGTTTTATTTAAAGTCCCCGTCTAAAGTTTGAAAATATTTTTTTATCGTTCATTTACTATTTGTCAGGACATAAAAAGTGATTTTAGATATTTTTGAACAAAAAAAATTTTTCGAAAAAAAGTTGTGAGCATTTCATTTCTCAAATATTCAAATTTCCCGCCATTTTTTGAAATTTCTTAATCATCAAATATTTCTTAATGTATTTCAAAAAAGATTATCTTTTTAACACCACTGCAAAGATTGAACAAAAGACACACTATTTCAATAATAAAATGTCATATTTAATGGGCCACTTCAATGTTTTAGCTTATCAAAAATATTTTGAAACATTAGTGATGTCACTAAGGTAACAAAAACTTTTTGAAAAAAAGTGAATTTCTTTTTTCGATGTCAATCTTTTCTAAATATGCTAGACTTTCATAAAAAAACAATGTTGATTGTCTAACCAGGTTAAAAGGAAGAATAAATTATGTTTTAGATATCATTGTACCATTGGTTTCTATGAGAACTAAAATTTTTAAATGCATTTTTCTCAGAACCATTTTCATGCACTGATAAGTTCATTTCTCGCTTGTTTATCAACCGATTTTCTTAATTTTTTCGGCAAAAAACATGGGAGGATGAATGCTATATGCATTGGTATGAATTGTGGATAATTAGAAGATATGAGTGACCTCTAAAAGTTGGTTTTAAATAAATTCACAAATTTTGGAACAAAAAGTCTATCAAAAACCACTTTTTGAAATTTAAAAAAAAAGTTTCACATATCACACTTTGATTACATTGGGTAAGACTACAATATAAGCCAAAGTGGTTTAAACTTTACATGGGGCCTTTAACAGAATTAACTTTCTGCTAACTTTGCAAAAGATGAAAATTACAAAGTACCCTTAACTCCTTTAAAACATATTAAAATAGAAATTGATAGATAAATTTGTATAAGCAATGAGGATATGAGATTTATCTACTGTGACATGTTTGACCTGTAAAAGTATGTTCTGGTTGGTTTTATCAAGTTTCCATGGTAATTATACAGATGTCATTATAGCGATACCTTTAAATGAAGTTTCACAATGATCATTATTTGCATGCCATTCATCCGAAATATGTGCAATGAATGAAATAATCCAAAATATGAATGTAATTGAACTATGAAAGTATTAAAATTGAAAAAAAAGTGATTATTCTGAGAAAATCACTGGAATAAGCAAGAAAATAACAAGATTATTGGAATGGATAACATATATTTAATAATCATTCAACCGAATAGAACTTTGCAGAGATTAAGCAGATAACACTGCATTTTATTTATTTGGGCAAAGGGAAAAAAGCGGAAAATCTTTTCAAATCATTTAAGGATTATTCTTGAATTAGAAACAGTTGTGTCAATAAGAACTGGTCAGATATACGTAAATTCAAGAAATATTATACTGTCTGTATGATTCTATAACAATGTGGATTGTAAATACCAATCACACGCTTTGTTTATTTTAGGATTTCAATTTGTGTAAAAGAGATGTTTTACAACTGTGTTATTTTCACTGATTTCATAATATGGTTATTAAACAAATTGTTCTGGGCATTATTATATGTTTGATAAGGATACTGACACGGAACTTGCTTATTGTGTTTTGAAAGATTATGGAGAAACCATTATTGATGTGTACTTAGCGGGTACTTAGCAACATCATCATTTTTCTAAACTTTTTTTATTTTTGCTTTAGATTTAAGTTGCTGTTAATTTGAAATTGGTTGTCAATCCAACGGTGCTCATTTATGTATGATAGTTGAAAATATTTTAGAAGGGAGTCAATTCTTTACGCTTTTTATAGAAACTATACCTAATATAGTCTTGTTTCAAGCCCTTGTAAGTAGATGTGGTAGGATGGTCCTGAGGATTGATGAAAGAATATATTTCTATAAAATTCCAAGCCAGAAATATTTTTATCCTGGTCAACAATATGTCTCTCTGAAAAATGGTCCATCTCTGGATGAGTAGGATGTTTAAAGATACAGCTATTGATTTTTCTTTAAGTATTTGTCATCAAGAGATTCTATAATAAGGGGTTGACTGTTTGAAAGAAAAATTTGTTATATTTGCTGATTGTGATTGTTAATAAAATGCCTATTGGTAGGTAAATGTTTTATTTACTTTTAAAAAGCATTTTCTATAATGTCACAGTCAAAAATATATTATTGAAAAACGAATCAAATTGAAATCTGAAAGCTATTGTCCAAAATTTCTCTACTTTAAATCCTTCAATTTCTACAATTGTCCTGATTTTTAAGAAAAAATCCACTTATGAATTTCAATTTGAACAGTGTAGTTTGACGCACTATCACTCAAGCTTTATTTATTCAATTGAAATACAATGATCTATGGGATTATCTGAGTTGTACAAAATATGGAACATGACAGTACAATTAAATATCTCAAGTTTTATTCATATTTGATTACTTTTCACTTAGCCATCATACTGAGACAAAAATAGCATCAATTTTGTTCAGTTTTGTATTTCACACAAAATTTGACATATTTTTTAGATTACGATAGAGTTTTGAAAGTTGACATAAATTGATTGCCGATGTTGTATTTGTTTTAAACATTTGCCGTACTTGACCGGTTTATGTATTTTTACGTAGGTTTACTGATATGAAAAAGATTTACCCTAAATCAAAATTTGACATTAACAGTCCGCAGATAAATTATTGATATTCAAGTGTTGAGTTTGAAAATGAAGTTCAAAACAAATTCATATATTTTTTAAAATTTTAAAAAGTCTTGCATGTAGCCCTTGTGTTCCCATTCTCTAATACTGGGTTGTGCAGGTAATTATTTGCATTAAATACAAATAACAATGAATGTCTTCCCGAATTATTGTCATCTTAGAATTTCAAGTCACACTTTTGAGAATTGATGTACTGAGTATGAATCATTTTATTAAGGGGTCTTCTCAAATATATGTATTCTTTATTTGTAGTGCACGTCCAGGCCGGCCCCCAAAGAGAAGCCCCTCTGTCCATGCCAATCCCGAAACACTGGAAAAGTTGAAGAAGAGTCGTCTTGACCTTGGGGACTATCACTATCCCCCTATGATAGGTAAGTTGCTATAGTAACTATAAATAATCACCTACCTAGATATGTTACTGTGCCAACCACAGTCAGTCAATGTAAGGTAAGAAAACAAGAAAGTATGTTGCTATGGTAACAATATGGAAATTTTCGTCAATCAATTACCTCTACATAAGTTGCTTTATTGAACTGGTTTGTTGCTATTTCAAAAATAATTATGACATTATTTTTCATGTTTAATATAATATTTAATGCTATATATATTATACATTATTTAAGTTGGTATGGGAACCTATTTTTATATGTTTCTACCATTTCCTCGTTGATTCTTCTTGCTAGGTTGTTGCATAACATCCACTACTTTTTAACACATCACATTAAAATTAATTTCTGCTAAACCATTAATTATGAGAGACAGAAAGTCTTCATTCCGTGTCTATCCAAGATTGAGTATAGCATCTCTGGAGAATTCTAATTTCAGGGCATTAATGTTTTCTGAATGAAAAAAAGTATTCATTTCTTTGGTATCAAAGTTCCTATTGAGCCACCATAAAGCATAGTAGAGCGTAGTAGAATCTGACATGATAGTACTATTTTCCTGTACTCTATAGCATGCAATTATCCCAAAACATGTTCAAGCAATTGTTCTCATATTTATTGACAAAATTAGTATTTACCTTGAATTTACCTTTTACATTAAACTTTGGCTCGTTCCTAATTAAGGTGTGTTGTTCTTTAGGCTGGATTATGTCACGTAGCGATGAGCAGTATCTGATTTATTTTCCAGATTAAAATGCTAATATTTTCTATGTTTATTAACTGTCATCAGCACAAATTAGGTTTAATTTTTATTTGCTGATTTGATTGAAAAATTAAATTTTATGAGGTTTGGTTGACACTTCATACCAGAATGTTAGCAATAATTCATTGTTTTCTGTTTCATTTTAGATCCGAAAAAAGCGCCACTTTTGGCAAATGGGTTCTCTCACTATCTGCCACATCTAGGGGCTGTACCTTTTATGCCACTCAACCATCCAATGATGTCAACAGCTGTTTCTATGGCAATGGCCAATCATCTGCGAGGGGAGGCACAACCAGTGATGCGAGAACGAAGTGAATCTGATTCAGATCTAATGTCCCCAAGGTAATTATACAAATATATTATTTGATTATATTTCTTCCATTGGTATTTGTTCTGATTTCTTTGTAAAATTGTCTTTTACTTTTGTGGTATCACTTGTGTATCCTTAGTAAACAACTTATTGACAAACATTTTGAATTGGAATGTAAATACGTCATACAAAGGGCATTCCATAAGTTCCCATAATTGATAATTGTTTGACTTCAATTTTATGAATAGATCTATACAGGAGAGGATGGAACATGCAGATCACCATAGAGACGGCCACCACAACCATCATCCCCATGACGATAAACTATCGCCACACTACCCCCACCTTATACAGCACCGCAGCTATGACAGACGTGTCAGCACCACTGATAAGGAATCTGGTAAATATTTGTTTCATTCAATTTCTCAGCGCTTCAACCATTTGAATCATCAGAGCATGAATTCTCCAAAAGTGTTTTTGGAAGTATTTGTCATAAATACATGTGCATTATAACGATCTTTAATATTAATGATTTTAATATGCCTTAAAAATTAGTTTTGAATTTTACTTCTAAATGTATAATTGTTCTCTGTTCATTAACCAGCATTACAAGAAGGTCATGCTCCTAGGTATTGAAGTATCAACAAATCGTGCCATTCAGTTGGCATTAATTATAGAAATTTGTTCTGAAGCAGTGAAAGTCAGCTATTTGACTTCTAACAGTTACTAAACAATTAAAAAAGTACAATAACATATTTGGGCGTATTTTCCTCATGTTTTCCCTGTGGAAAAAGCTCAAAACTAACAATTGTGATCCAAGATTATTTTTTGAAGAAGTGAATTGATAGCCCTGAGCTGAATAAAAGCTGACATGCCATTGGTAGATAAACATTAAGAGAGCAGATCAATTACAAAAATCAGACTTACAAATGAGTGAAATATGTTTCGAAAAGCTTTTGTTATTCTTGTGAGGATAATTATTGTTAGAAGGTGTTTTTGTTCAAATGCGCCACAAAAACATTAACCCTAAGCAGTCTTTGTAGCTGCCCACCAAAAATTACATATTTATTTTTCATTTTGTCAACAAAGATACTGGTAAATGTTTTTAGTGGCAGTGTCGGAAAACACCTCTGTCTTATTTATTCAAAACACACGAGAGTTCGGCTTCAAAACAAACCGCATTGATTAATCTCTGATCAGTAGGAGGATTTCCCATGTCATCTCATTGCAGACGCAAATCTACACGATTCTTTTGTGATTTTGTTCAAATGATTCTAGATGATGACTTTTGACTTTTTCAATTAATTTTTATTATCAATTTAAAAAAAACATGATATTCATATACATGATATGGTACTTGTATGTATTTTTTGAGAAACAAAACTTTTGCTGACTTTTAAAGAATTGGTATCGATATGGAGAACTGAATTCAACAATGTTTTTCTCTTAAACCAATCATTGAAAACATTCTGTAAAAAAACACGGTATTTAATGTAATGTTGACTGATTGCCAACAATTTAATGCAAAAATTATTTAGAAATATTTGATATAACTGTTTTTGTTAACATTTTTTTTTTTTAGTGCAGTTGTTTTTGCTCCTTTCTACCAATTCTTGAGAATGAAATAAAATGTCTTTCCGAACCTTGTTGGAACAAAATAGCATATACAACATGTTTTTAGACCTCTCAATATTACAGTTATACAAAGGAATTTTGGGTTGATTTTAAAAAGGTATTCAAAAAATTAAAACAAAATCCCCCCAAAATAGATAAAAATCAAGATAAACCTTTTATTTCATTAACAAGATACTTTTTGAAAATCAACCAAAATTTCCTTTGTACAATTACAATATTGAGAGACCTAAACATGTTGTGTTTATGTCATTTTGTTCCAATGAGGTTCGGAAAGATGTTTCATTTCACTCTGGAAACATGATACCAAGAACAAAACAAGTGTTTGATGTGTTTTCTAAAACAATATAGATGAAAGTATATATCTATTTTTCAAATTATATTGTTACCATTCAAAAGATCACCATTAAATTGACGATGTGTTAAAGTTTTAGATTTTTTTCATGACTGGTTTAAGAGAAACATGTGTTCAAAAAGTTCTCCATATCGATACCACTCCTTTGACTACTGCAATAAACTACTGCAGTATTGGAAAAAACAAAATAAGATATGTTTAGATATACAAAACCTGTCTTAGTGAACACCTCTATCTTGTGAACACCTGTCTCTACTGGACACCCTACTTGTGAACAACTACCAGCATTGACATTTTAGTGCATTTGATAACCAGTTTGCAGTATAAGATTTGATGTCTACTTTGTGACAGTATCTGTTGAAGATCTTCCCAGGCTTGCCTCACATTGACATCAATTTGAGACAATTCAGCTTTTTTTAAAAGGAATACATATTATGAGTACACGAGAGACCCATCTTGTCTTATTAACTTCAGGGGAATGGAAATATGTGTGTTTAATTGTCTTTGATTATCCCACAATGAAGATCCGTGATACAAAATGTTTCCAAGAAATTGATAGAGATTCATTTTCAAAAAGCTTTTGTTTTGCCTGTCAATATCATTATTTGTTTCAAATGGTTCCAATTAAACACCATTTAACTCTCAGAAATGAATGCTGAAGATAATCTACTATTAAATTCACATTAGAAAGATTTCTTTACTCATTCTTTAAATAACACCCCAGTCATGGATATATTACATATTATTTCTCAAAAATGGAAATACAATCTCTGAATTTCTCATATTTATATTCTATTTAAAGCAAATGCTTTCTTCACTCCTCCATAATTTCTCAATTTTTCATGATATTTCACAATTGAAACATGTTTACCTAGACATTTTATTGCCAGGTAATCGTCTGATGTGAAATGTCAATAAGAACAGCAGACCCATCTTAATGGATTGAAGAAGTCTTTCCGCAGGTGAAAGTGTGCATTTCCTTCTCTCTAGGAGGAAACTTGAAATATTGTCAGATTACAAATAATCTTAGATCTACATGTATTGATAATTTATGAAACTGGAGCTTGGTTAGGAGGAGGGGATGTTGGGGTGTTTTAGGAGGAAGGCAAGGATGGGGTGAATCCAGGGGTTATATGTAGTGTCGGAGATGATGTTATTCATGCATCAATGAAAAAAGTCTTATTTAAAATGCGGGATTTTTAAATATGCCTGTGGAATATTAAGTTTATTTTAATGGGAGGATTATTTAAATAAATAAACTGTAAAAATATGACAAAAATAGATGAATTAGAAAATGTGAAATGAACTGGGCTTTAATTCAAACACCAGCTATTGCGAATTTCAGTCAGATTCAAGCAAGGAAAATGAAAAGACATTCTTTCTTTGGTGAGAACATTTGTCTTTCTGGATTCTAAAGTAGATTTCCTGAAGCGTCAAATCTTTGAAAGCCTTTTATATCTCATAAGAGGATAATAAGAGGATAATCAATATAAATAAGCACTCACAAAAGGTCACTCAATACCTATGTAAGTTTAAGAGATGTTGATTATTGATATGATACAGGAAAGAGGGCTAAGAATCATCATTAAAATACCTGTAAATTAAATGCTTCCCTTGCTTAAAAGAGTTTTCTTTATCATTTGCTCAAAAATAATTATACAATACCTTGATTTTCTTGTTGTCATATAATTTCAAAAGTGAATGAAACACCAATTTCCTTTATTTCTTGCTAATTCTACTGTTCATATGTTTATTATAGAAGTTGACATACACAGATTTTTGCACAGGGGATATCTTTCATTTTCTAGCTACATGATAGATCCATTTAAGTACAGCTTTGTCATAAATAGAAACAAACAAAAATACATGTTATTATTCTTTTCAAGATATTGTCAGTTTTATCTCACCGTGAGAAAAATATAACTTTGTCCAAGTGTAAATTTTATCCACTTATCTCATGTTAAAAATGATCCCATTCTGACAACATTTCATTTTCATGATTCATTCTAGTTTCTATTTTAAAATATCAAAATTGAATTTATTTAGTTCTGAGTTTACTGAAATCATTTGCTTTCAAGAGAAGGATATATGTAACTTACCAGTTTCAAAATATGAGCATTCACATTGGTTCTCAAAAGTGGAGAAGAATGCTTCATCTGGATATTTTAAGATTTATCATACACACAGGGTGTCAAATAAGTCCTGTCCCCCCTGCTGCAGCTAAAACCTTAATATATGGTACACAGTGTGATATACCATTGGAAAGATCATCCAAAGTTATGTTAACTCACCAACTCTCAAGTATTTTGGATAAAATTCACCTATATTTTGATGATGTTCTTTATAGTTAGTGTAGCCTCCTTAAGCAGCTTTTATTGCGTCAAAATGAGAAGGATATGACCTCAGAAATACGTCAAAAAGTTAACCTTTTTCGCATTTCACTTTATACAAAAAGGTTTTCACCACTTTCCTTGCACTTCTATTTTCTACACATCTAACCCTATCCAGAAATTGGTTTAATTCGTTGCCATATACATATGTTGTAATCTTTAGGTCCTTTGACTTTTCTCATCCCCGATTCTTAAAATCCTGCCAAATACGCCAAATTGCCATGTTTCTAGGCTTATGGTCACCTCAATTGATACAATGTAAAAATTTGTGAGATTGATTGACATGTGTCAGCTACATGCTAATCAACGTAACTTTGGAAGACCTTTCCAATGATATATCACACTTGGTACCATATATCTTGGGTTTGGCTGTTAAGGGGGGATAGGACTTATTTGACACCCTGTAAATCAAAGAAGTAAGTCAAAAATAAAACATGGTGCCATGCAGGCATACATGGATACATGTTGATATAATAACATATTATCATTTCATTCATATAATGTTTTTATATGCTTGATGTGAAATACAAAGTATTTAAAAAATCCTAATGTTAAAATAAAAACACATGATGACATGCATGCGGTTCACTGCTTTCTTTGACAAACTTGAAACAAGTTAGCTCTATATATTCCGATACCCTTTCCTCTTGATGGTCATTTTTGTTTACTTCTAACTTATTTTATGATTGAGATATATTCTAATGTAATTTTCCATTATTACTTATATAACTCCTGAACATATGATAATAAAAAGGGGCCTGGCAATGCTCATTTTGAGGTTTAAATGTTCATAACACAGCTAGAGTAGCATATCCTTCTCTTGCAAGCCCATGCTGAGATATAGATCCTAAATTCGAAAATCGGATATGAAATTGATTCTAGTCTAAGTGCTGACTAGCATGATTGAACTGAAAAAAAGAATGCGCTATTTCTGTCCCAGACCGGTAAAACCATAACTTATATAAGTATTAATTATAAAACAAATATGCAATGTGAGAAGCTATCGGTTGCTTACTTAAAAGCATGTTTCCTTTTCTAAGATCTACATTACGATATCAGTATTGTTGCTATGTAATCTTCACCAATTTCAAATAATAAAACCTACAGCTCAGTGTAAACAAACATCAATTATAAACATCCTTGGCATTCGTAACGGTATCGCTGTTACGTAGAAGAAATGATTTTTTGATTTTCTTGAGAAAAATCTTTTGGGGCACACCTCTATTTGTGATGTCTCGTGTTGCTACAAAAGTTAAGTGTCATCATAAACTCAGATTGGTTTCATTACAAGTTTGGATTTCTGAAACCCATAATTAATTATTAATAACTATTGGTTTTTACATTCAATTCTTTCATTCTCTGTTCTTCTCTTTGTGTTGTTTTAATTTATCGAGACTGTAAATGAGTTAAAAAACATTCAACATAGCAAATGTTTCACTCTTGGTACTTACATTATGGACATGAACTTTAAGTCCATGTATATATAAACATTGTGCAGTAACTTCTTATTTCCTTGAGAATGAAGTCCAAGGTCATCCATACAACAAAACTTCCAGAAAGGGATGATGTTCTAAATATCTGTGATATAGGAACTTCGAAGAGAGGATATTGCAGGGTATAGGAAATTCCATTAATCTAAAGGACATTTACCAATTGATTATTTTGAGATGAGCAAATGACTGAGAAAACAAAGGATTATTTGATTTTCATAAAATATGTTTTAAGTTACATAGATGTTTCTAGAAAGTCATTTCATTTCAATGATTTAGCATGGAGTTTGTAATCAATGCCTTTGCTTAATACGGATCCCCATGTGAGTCTATGGAATCACCCACTTGCTATAAGATCATATCTATAGATTTTTAAATAAAAATCAAATGTTTGCCTATCCTGTTAAAGTAAAGAATAGAGGTGGTACCTTGAGAAATATAGTGTTTTCACGGAGCTTACTTAATAACATGAGTTTCATTATCTTGACTGTATTGATTAAGTTTTACAAAGTTTTATGCCAACCACCAGATGGGGTAGTTCTCAAGTTGCGTCAGATTTCAATATTTTTTTATATGTATTTGTTAAAGGTCATTGATATGGTATTTTTTCTTTTATTACCAATATTTATAATAAATAACTTCATTTTAAAATATTTTAGGAATTGATTTATTATTGTTATTTATATGTTTATTTTAATCCAAATAATTGATATTTATACTGTACAGTTATTTATCCATTTTTTGTTTTAGGATATATCAATGGAAGAAATGTTTTTTAAAAAATATTGTTTTATAGTGAGTGAAAATTCAGAGAATGGCATTCAAGAGGAGTCAGTTTAGAAAATAGAGTTGAAAATAATGGAGTCAGCGAAGAAAGTATCAAACAAGCTAGTTTATATGTTCTAAGAAAGAAATGGTGTGAAAAGAGACAGACCTTTGGATTGATGTGAAAAGATCATAGAAAAACAAGTGGCTTTACCATACTAAGCAAATACAATAAAATGAAATAGAGACAAAATAAAGAAACAATTGTCCACAAATATTTAAACAGATCAATAACAACCGTGTCGACTTTATAACTTGTTAAACCCCGGCTGAAGAAAATCAAATTTGTCATTTCGATTGTATTGGGATTTACATGTAACTGAGCCTTTATTTCACATAAATGAATTGAATAATAGAAAACTATACAAATACTATTGCGGTAACTCAAAACAAGCAGATTGTGAATTGAATGATTAATTTCCACACTGTGTCTATGTTCATATCGGAAATCATATTTTATATGGCTTGAAAGACCTAGTATTTGACAAGAAGAAATATAACATGTTAATACCTTGTAATACAGACTTGTAACAAATACTCCTGAAATTCCTTAGCTTTGTGAATTATAGCTTTTTGATTGGTTGACGCATGTTGTCATATCTTTGTAATATTTACTTAGAGCTGGGAATCCATTTTCTACACCCTGAACTCCCCTTTTTTATTCTGTAAGAAGTTTTGAATAATGTATTTATCTACATGTATATGTGCAACCTCTTACAGGTTTCATATCATGTTGATATGGGACATCATTCAATGTGCAATAATGTAAGAATCAAACCAACCTATGTAGGGGCCTACAGGGGTGGTCCATAATGACGGTGTGAAGTTCAATGGCCCCAAAATATCAGTCATTGAGCCTTTTGGCTTTACATAATAAATTATTACAAAACTAAGAACTATAATTATATTATATGTATATGAATGATCATACATTATTTTACCAACATATTCTCTTCTCTGAAGGTATTGGAACACCGAGTGATGCACCCAGTGGAATGGATTTGTCGACAAAGAGTGCATTGCATTCTGGGAATTCAGATGACGCAGATGAAGATACTGATGATGAAGAAGGTAAATAGCACGAGCATGAATATTATGTTTGTTGATTGAAAAAATGTTGTTTCAATATATTTCATGTACATGTATACAATATGAAGATGGGTAATGGTAGCTTTAAAAATATCATATGAATTTCCTTGGGAAGGTAATAGTAAGTGAAAGAAAGTATTGAGAAAATAAGCCTTTTTACAGCAATGAACACAGCAGTCAAGCAGCCAATCAGACATTCATCTGGAACAGATCTCAGCGAAAAACCAAGCCCACCAGCCATCCCCAATTTCTCCGCCATCTTGAATGCTGAGAACTCTGGGATATCATCCATCGAGACATTGTTATTGAATATTCAGGGGCTTCTTAAAGTTGCTGCCGAAAATGCACGTCACCATGAACGCCAGATCAATTATGAGAAAGGTAATAGCTGAATGTATTGTTTAACCAATAAGCTGTTGTATTTAGTGTGAAGTAAAGATTCATTTGTTCTTAAAATATATTTTTTGGATTATCAGTCAAAGGTTTATTGCACTGGATATTGCTACAAGTGATATTAAGCAATTGATTAGGCCTTCAAGTGATATAAAAATTGTACAGGACCTTTAAACGGTTTTCAAAAATTGAATAGGCCCTTTAAGTTTAAGTCTTAATTAGATATAGGGTGTTTTATCTTAACCATATTGCTATAGATGCTAATAGAGTAAAATCCCAGATTTTTTCCAATGGGATGTTATTAGCAAAATCCCGGGACATCCACTCTAAGGTCATACTTACTTCATATCTTATTAACATTTAATATCTGTTCCAATGATTCAGGAATCATAAACTTTCTTCTTCCCCATTGTCTCATTATTTGTTAATTATTGTTCGTCTGTTTGCAAATGTTAATAGAAATGACTATTTTTGACCAAAGGTTAATGGCACCCCTTATTTGGTGATGTTTCGTCACAGCGGAACTGGGATCCATATCTTTGATTGATGTTTCTGGCATTTGCATAAAAACTTTTAGATTTAATTTTCATGATTATTATTGTGTATATCATTTAGCTTCACTTAGTTTGGTTAAATGTATACATAGGTACATGCTGACTACTCTTTTGAGGACATTTGGGAAGTAATATTTCCAAACTGTATCTTAAGTGAGAAAATATTAAAGTATTTGTAAGGTTTGTTTTCTGTCGCTTTTGTAATTACTTTAGTCCTCTCTTTACCCAGAGTGTCAGAAAATTACCTCAATGGAGGTAAATTCCCATGGTACACTTCATCATAATTTCTTAAGGCATGTGACTCATTTAAAAACCAATTACACATGCAGGTCAAAAGAATGTTATTGTGATAAAGAATAGTCAACTACTGTCAATTTTGAGAACAGCCAATTTGGCTCAAAACACAATTAATAACAAGCACTTACATTCAAAACATTTGCTCTTGGATTACCTCTGAATTATATAACTGTTATATATAATTGAGAAAAGACAATTTGAGAATAACCACATTTTAATTTTAAAGGTACCTTGAGAAAATGTAATTACTCAGATGCGAGTAGGTAGTTACCAGTTTCGCCACCAGGTGGCTGATTCGGGGGGAAATAACACGGCAGGGTATTACAAAATTCCCTTAAACTTGAATATTCATCAGTTTTAGTGGTTCACTTTTCATATTACCCTTATGTATCTGATAGTTATACAAATTAGAATATGACCAGTAAAAGAAAATATTATCTGCCCAACACAAGAAAAGATATTTCCATTTTTGTGATTTTACAACATTCGGGCTATGGGGAATCTCCCCGACCTAGAAGTCACATTTTCAAAGAAAATTAAATTTTCCTTTGATAAACTCTTTTCAAAACCATATTTCTAGATGTAATTTTACATGTAGATTCCAAAATTTTTAATGACGTAAATCAAGATTATTTCTACTCGCATCTAGGATATTAAACACCTTACTGTTTAGTGTTTAACATCTAAAAATGCATGCATGTATTAAGTACCCTTGCCTCATTGTTTAATATAAAAATGTACCAATCTGAAAAAATTCAACATCCACAAGAAGTCGACTGTATTTCATCATATTCACACCAGTTCAATTTGCACAACTTTCACTGTACTTCTCTATATTCATAAGATGGACCAGAATTGCGACAATCATCTGTTAATAAATGAAACAATACAACATTAATGCCATTTAAATACTCAGAGAAACCTGCAACTATAAAATCTAATATAGCTTTAGGTTTATTGCTAATCGGTTATGCAGAGCTCATATTATCGTCCATGAAATAATATTATTTCGACGCTTAATTTCTCAAATGATCGCATTGCAATCGTCATCGGGGAGACGCTTGTCGAAATAAAATTGTTTTATGTCGAAAAGTCTCGATTTAATTCAATTTCACTGTGAGGACGCTACATTGTTTGAATATTAAAGCAAATTAGGACCTCGCTATGGACCAGTTTTTCAAAACGATTATTCGCAACGTGTCACCTAATTTGCAATTATTAATATAAAAATTCCTTTTCCCATATGGCACTCTCTTTCAATTAATTCAGATTTCTTAGGCTATGTTGGTCAAATTGATAATTTTTATAATTTTTGTATAGTATTAAAACATTTAGTTTATGTATTCTAATATATGTATATGCTTGACTGATAATACATACATATTAATCTAATAATTACTGAATTGCAAGTTTATTAATTTGAATATAAATCATCGGTTTTGGAGTAGACTTTCTGATTTATGTCATGCTACAGAATGCTAAAGATCAAATAAAGCTTTCCACCTCAAAATGGGATATTAAGTTACAAATAGGTTCTAATATACTCTATTGGGGATAATCCCTCGCAATAAAGTTCTTTCATTATCTCTTATTGACTAAGAGCAAAAGAAAAATACAAATCTAAAAAAACTGTTTTGTTCAGCAAAGAAAATGTGTGAATTGTGAAGCAGTCAATATGGTACAACGAAAATGGGACTTCTGCGCATGTTAAAATTTTTCGTCAAAACTCAACTTTTGTTCAAGTTGATACGATTGTCTTTCGAACTAGAGACTTACCTCATTCGAAAGATCATAAAAGACTTTATCTATACTGAAAATCTTAGATCCAAACATAGTAGAATACGCCGTCAGTCCGCATTTGATTTTTTGAAGTGAGTTTCGTAGATCGTCAGATTTCTCCGACTGATATCGGGTTATCTCAAACTGGTTCGTTTATAAATACGAATTTGTTAACCGTTGTAAGGCGCATGCGCAAAATTGATTTTTAAACCTTATTGGTTGATGGTTTTTCCCCTGCGCATGCGTGAAGTCTGATGAACACTTATGACGAAGACCGGAGCAAACATTACTAGCTCTTGAACGAAATTCCAAGATTCAGGTCATTTCGCCGTGTTTGCTAAGTGTGTATACGTGAATGACAAGCTGTTTTGAGTAGATCGGGTACCTGTTTTAGACACAACATTGATTTAGCTTGACATTGATGTGCACATTGGCACTTTTGAGCATGTTAATACAAGTTTTTACACTCTTAGCACGAGACGGGTTTTCGAAAAATCTGTTATCTGATTCACTCGATTATCGTATGGATATGTATTTCTGCTGACATTTCAACACCACATCACATAGAATTACGATGCAGAATGATAATAAAACACAAAACAACTACTAAGTTATTTCACAGGAGGTAAAAATGCAAACTGCCTAGATTCTTTGTAAGGGTCGTCAGACATCGGATTGGCCGCCATATTTGAAATGAAAATATCACTAAATAGAGGTCTGCGCATGCCTCAACATTTCGACTGGAAGTATTTTTGATTTTTTTAATATATGTCCATTTTATGATATGTTTAATGAAGGCAGCTGTCATATCTGCAATGATAAAGAAATTGAAGAGTTAAAAGGTTTAAGAATCATTAAACAGTATTCCAGTTCTAATGAAACAATCCACTTGATGGAATGTCACTGGCAGATCATCTTTGTTCCATGCAAGTTTTCATAGTACAGGATTTTCTTGTATGTTTTTATGGCTAAAATGCTGACTTAATGCCTGGTTACTTTATCCCACTGTTCACTATGTTACCATGTTTGAGAATATTATTATTTGATTAAATAATCCTTTAAATGGATTTGTATTTATGCTATCTTTGAATAACATAAAATTGTGCATTTATTTATACCATGATTCTATCAAATTATTTATTAAGTATCTTGAGTAAAACAAAAGCATCATCCCTTTCCTTTCTAAAAAATAATACATAACATTGAATCTAATTACTAAAAGAGAAATTCGTGTAACAGGTTAATGGGATCATTAAATTGTCTGAAAGTATTGTATCTTGGATGTCAGTCGGATCAGATATGTAATTTTTAGATTGCAATGTCTGGGAAGTTGCATTGCATGTTACCTCTGAAATCATTAAACATAAAATCATCATGTCTAAAACAATTTGTTTTTTCTGAATTAGTTATAGCCCATGATTAAACAAGGAATATTTAAGTACAAATGAATAGTTAGAGTGTTAATATAAATGTATTTTGGAAAACAATTAACTTATGGAGTACTTTAAAAGGTGCAAAAAGGAATCATTTGAGGGTACATTTAAAAATGTCTTCAGCTTGACACTTTGCAAAAGGGAAATCAAAAATGATTGGTTCATAATTACGAACAAAGTTAAAGCAATGTTCTAAGAATCCACTTGTCATATCATGGGGGAATTCATTTCACTTCTAGCTTAGCGTAACATTTGATAGATCATCTATGTGTTTTATGGTTGAATTAAATAATGTAGATTCTCTGAAAATGCCTTAATCTTATATCCTCTAGGGAGGAATTAGTATTTGTAACACAATATGGGATTTCAATTGTGAAACTCCCCAGTCTCTAACACGAAAGAGGACCCCAGAGCAAAATATCTCTCCTCATGAATTAAGATTCAAAATTGGGAAATCTTGAGAGGAAATGACTTGGAAAAACCAAACGAGCATGAAGTCGGTATTCTAAATTGTATAGATATTCTGGAAAATTTAAGACTTCAATTTAGGATTGGAGAGAGTGATATAGAATGGGTGTAAACAGAACAGTTTTAATATGAAGGTAATATTTGATCTAAAGAAGGAATACAGTCTCACATCCCTTACATTTAATGCATAACTGTCACCTTCAAAGGCCTTAGAACAATGAAATATGCTTTTTGATATTCGGCAAAATGATATTAGAGTGAATCACCTCCAAAGTGTCAGGGGATCAGTCACTTTGAAGAACAACATTCTTATGGCAAATACAAAGAGAAATACAAGAAAATAACCCGACAATTAGAAACTTGTGAAACAAACATTATAATTTCAGTGAAGAAGTTATGCCAAACAATTATTTAAAATTAGTATATATAATCAAATTTAATTTCAATTTTACACATTTTGTATCAAATTGTATGTAAATTCCACAACACAAGAAGCTTATGAGAAATCATGGTGTATTTATAATGTGAGAGTGGGTTATAGACATCTTATATTAATGATTTAATAACCAAATGTAGAATGAGGAATATAATAAGGCCCATTCAAAATAATTGTCTGTTTAAGGTTGCCTAACAACAAGGCCAGCAGAAAACCTCATTCTTACATTTTAGGAGTTTTCATTCTTGTTGGAATGTCATTTTGTATTTCAAACAATAACTAAATTTCCTGTCAATGGGTTGTTTTTGTAATTTAGTTCTTAACAGATAAACAATTCAAAATTAATATGTAGAGGCCTAAATTAATTTAGGCACCAGTAATTGTAGCTTCTGATGAAATTATATTGTCTGAACATGAAACTCACGGGATCAATGATTTATAACTTCAAAGAAAACAACCAGCTCTTTCCATCATGTTTTAGCAGAATAGAAAACAAATTGATCAACAGAGCCTAATTCCCTGGACTAGGTGGAAATATCTTTTGGAGTTGATGATTACTATTTTACATGTGAATAGTTTAGCATTATCTGTACCAGAGACCAAATGCATTTAAAATAGAAAATTGTGTAGAAAATAGTGGACACTGAAGGAATTAAAAGTCATGTCATCACCAAATTGTTGGAAAATGATGTAATTCATAAAGATCCATGAGATAAAGATATTAAAATGAACTCATAAAAATAAAATACTAGTTTTATAGAAAATGTTTAAACATTGTTGGTGGTGTTGTTTCAGCTGAACTAAAGATGGAGCTGATGAGAGAACGTGAACTGAGGGAAAACTTTGAGAAGCAACTCCAAGAGGAACAGCGAAACAGAGGTATTCATTTGCTTTAGAAATGTAATGAACAATCACTTCCAACACCCCTACTTCATACAGTTCCAATGATTTGCAATGGAGTAAGTAAGCATAAAAGCCTCACAATAACTCTAATTACAGTTTATATCCAATTGTTTTAAATATTACCAGAGGGAAAGCAGATTGTTGAGATATTATTAGTATTTAACTTGTTCAGTGATTGTTGTTGTAGTCAGAGTGTAGTATTGCTTCTTAATAATATAAAAAGGGTATCCGTCTGCTTTGCTGATTTACCTGACACCTAGTGGTAAAATTACACACCACTGATCAATCATTTTATTGAACAAAAGTTAATTATTGTAATGTGGAATTAAACGTGCAATTATGACATCTGAGCATTAATCTTTCACTGCAAAAAATCAATCTCATATCTATTAGGGAATGAGGAATGAATTTCTGCGGAAATTTTCCTGATTTTTTCTGCTTGGCTAAATGCAAGATCTTCATAATGGGGCTTAATATTTTGACGTCTAGGTGATTAATAATAGTTCAACAGCAGGATAATTCCGGCTTAGTTTTTCTCGATTTCCTCAATTTTTGTTCCTTTTGATCTGTATTCTTCAACATTATCACGGCAAGGTGTATTGTTTTAGATGTACTGTTGTAAACAGAAATATAAATGCCTTTTTTCATGAATTTTTCAACAATAACAACTCTTTTCTTGTAAGAGTAATGGTTTGTCTGAGATAATATGCCAAGAAAAGAGGTTACCATATACATTTCAATTTCCTATTGAGACAGAAAAACGAAGTAAAAACAGCGTAGAAATCATCGTAACAAATTGGATGTCAATAGCTTGATGACATTTCACAGATTTAATGACTTCTAACCAATGAAATATTGAATTATATTCACTTCTTACAATTTGTTTGCGTTAACTTCCCACTTGTAAAATTACGAGGGTCATATTTTTAATTTCCAAATTAATTGTAGAAAAGAATGGACTTGCCATGGAAATAGGTAAACATGTAGTCAGCATTCTGAATCATTAAATATGTGAGAAAATGAAACACTCCATTTAGATTTAGAGAGAAAATACAAAAATAAGAGACCAAGTTTTTGTGTCGGTTAAAATTCTTGTTTGACAAGTCTGATTTGTCTCTTAGAGAACCCATATAAAATAAAAGGAAACAATTTGTTTTTATCTTTCATCTGAAAATGATAATCTTGACAACCAAGTTGACAAGGAAGTTCTTGTCAGCTCATTACATTTCATCGTGTTATCCTTGTTGTTCCTTACAGTAACAATTATCTTTTAAGGCTCTGAAACCATGCTTTGTTAGACAAATTTTTTGTTTATTGTTATTCTTGCTTTTCCACTTTTTCCACATATTTTCCTAAAAATCTAAATGTGTGCATAAGAATATCTCCCTGATTGTTCAGGGATCATCAAAGCTTTAGATTTTGTTAATGTATCGCTATGAATCTTGATTCTTTGACAAGCCAACATTTAAGATTCATTTATATTATTCTTTTTCACTTAAAAATCACTTAGCGTGCCAAGTACAATAAATTGTATATAATTGTAAGCGTTTGTTATTGACAGTGATAATTCACTGATTATTGATAATAATTACTGGCTTTTATTTTTGTGATCTAATGATAAATTATTACGAGTATAAAAGGATTTTATTTTATCTCGTGTTTTATGCTTCCGTGATTTATTGAACGAATAAAGTTTTGTTGCATTACTGAGTAAAGAGAGATGGGAACTCAACAACTAATTCATATTTATTTTGAAAAATTATTGTTCTATTCCATTACACCCGGAATATTGGTCTCAAAGCAGCGGGAATGTTGAATTTACTGAAATTGACAAAATGATCACTTATGGTAACACACAAAATGGCAAATGGAATTTCAAATAAAATAATATATAGAATCTTTCTTACAGTTCCTACTCTAGCTTTACAGCCTTAAATCAATCCATGATTTAAATTTGAATTAAAGCTGCCCCTTAAGCACAATAAACCATAATATTTCCATCATTTTAGTTATGAGTTGCTTTGCAAGACTGTGATGAGTTAAAAGATCTACATGTACACCTTCAGTTGTTGATATATCCATTGCTATTTCATTTAAAATATGTGAATGTTGTTTTCATTTTAGTTGTCATTCAGAAGAGATACAGGAAAGAAAAGAAAACAAGACGACGTCTGCAGGAAGAGATTGAATCTGTTGAACAAAAGCGCCCTCTATCTGCAGAAGATTTACGTAAATCACCTCAATCTGACAACTCACGAGTACAAGGTAGTTATGATTTGATATTTTTAGTTGTAATATGATATCATAAGTGATTTGAACTTTTAATATAGAAACAGAGTAATAGCTTTAGTGTGTAAGTATAACATCATTTGTTGACATTTTGTTCAATGATGAAATCATTTTTGGAAGAGATTGATTTTTTGAAAGTAAAACTTTGAATATTTAATCTGATAGAAATCGTGGGTGGATCTTCAAAATGTATTTATTTTTTTTATGAATTAAAGAAAATAATATTGGGATTTGTTTTTGTAATGACTGGTTCAGGTTTTAGATGGTTTTTTGGCTCACCCATTGGTCTGTCTTCTTTAGCAAATGTTAAACATATTTAGTATTATTTCTAGATGGCACATCCTCCTCTGATCAGGACAGTGGGCCAGAATACAACAGCGTATCAAGGGCAATATCAGAGAATAAACTAGCAGGTACATGTACGTACATACACTTTTCATATAAATAGCTAACCATGGAGGTGGGGGGGTAGGGGTTGGGGTGCTTTAAGACATAAGAGGAAATTGACAAGACTTGAATCAGCAAGTAATGAAAATGGTGTCAAATTTCAGAGACATTGTTTGGAAAGAAGAAATAATACTGTAGGTCAGTGTAGGGTTCCTTTGGTGGAAGTGATATCTAAGCTCCCTTGTTCCTGATAGAGACATATTAAGAGATATTTAAAGAAAGAAAACAAAAGAAAAAGTCAGAATTTCAAAAAATATCTAAGTTCATCTCCTTATTTTACTTTTTATTTTTCTCATTATGTCCCCACCACATAGTGTGGGGCCATATTGTCGGCCTAGGCGCGTCCGTCTGTCCGTCCGTCCGTCCGTCCGTCCGTCCGTCCGTCTGTCCGTCCGTCTGTCCGTACGTCCGGGAGTTTTCTCCAAAACCGCTACAGATATCACCTTCAAATTTTAAGGGATAACTTATGAGTGCATACAGATGTGGATGAAAATTTTTTAACTCAATACCTACTTCCTGTCGGCCATTTTGAAGTCAAATGCTAAAATCCTTGTCTGCAAACTTTAAGAAAAACGGCTTCACAGTTGCTTTTAAAACTTTAAAATCTTGTTCAGCTCACTTCATTCTAGATCTGATTAGGTTTTGGACCTGTTAGCTCAGTCATGTCAGCCATTTTGAATGTCTTAAGAAAAGTTAGCGCACGATAATACTTTGTATCATATTGAATGGTGTTTTTGAGTTTTCATACTTTAACTATTTAGTAGCTTTATAAATAATTTCAGATGTACTTTGTTGTAAAAGCCTATGTTATTGTTAACAGTAGTTATATGTGATAATTTTGTAAGAAGAAATCAGCAAAAACACATAATCACTTTTTTATTGTCGGCCATTTTGGATTTTTCCGTCCTAAAATCTTGTCTGTGAAGTCTTGTTTACGTGTTTTCAGGTGAACCGTTCGGTGGATCAATTTCAAATTTTCAGGGATGATTCTTAGTATAAAAATCTAGATCTGATTTGTTTTTTGGCATTCTGGGTAAATGTCAAGGCAGCCATTTTGGATTTTCCGTCCTAAAATCTTGTTTTTAAAGTCTTGTCTACGCGTTTTCAGGTGAACCGTTTGGTAGATCAATTTCAAATTTTCAGAGATGATTCTTAGTATGAAAATGTAGAACTGATTAGTTTTTTGGCATTCTGGGCAAATGTCAAGGCAGCCATTTTGGATTTTCTGTCCTAAAATCTTGTCTGTAAAGTCTTGTCTATGCATTTCCAGGTGAACCGTTCTGTAGATCAATTTCAAATTTTTAGGGATGATTCTTAGTATGAAAATCTAGATCTGATTAGTTTTTGGCATTCTGGATAAATGTCAAGGCAGCCATTTTGGATTTTCCGTCTTAAAATCTTGCCTGTAAAGTCTTGTCTATGCATTTTTAGGTGAACCGTTTGGTAGATTAATTTCAAATTTTCAGGGATGATTCTTAGTGTGAAAATCTACATCTGATTAGTTTTTTGGCATTCTGTGTAAATGTCATGGCAGCCATTTTGGATTTTCTGTCCTTAAATCTTGTCTGTAAAGTCTTGTCTATGCGTTTTCAGGTGAACCATTTGGTAGATCGATGTCATATTTTCAGGGATGATTCTTAGTATGAAAATCTAGGAACAGATTAGTTTTTTGACATTCTGGGTAAATGTCAAGGCAGCCATTTTGGATTTTCCATCCTAAAATCTTGTCTGTAAAGTCTTGTTTACATGTTTTCTAGTTAACTGTGTGACGGATCAATTAAAAATTTTCAGGGGTGGTTCTTAGTTTGAAAATCTAGAACTGACTAAATTTTTGGCATTCTGGGTAAATTTTAAGGTGGCCATTTTGGATTTTCCGTCCTCAAATTGTGTTGGTAAAGTCTTGTCTACTCATTTTCAGGATAACCATTTGATGGGATCACCCACTGGTGGGGACATTTTGTACACATTTGTGTTCTTGTTTTCATTTGAATTGCATTTTGAAGAATATTACATTTTATTTGGCAATAGTACAATAACGTCATTACTAAGGGCAATATAGTGAAATATTGGACCGAGGGCCGAATATTTCACTATATTGCTCGCAGAAATTACGTTATTAGTATCATTACCACCATTAACAACCAGGGCTGAAATAGCAAGAAAATCTTACGCACTGAACGATATCTAATTTCCCGGGGAAAAATTGCCGGTCCAGAATATATTCTAGACTGGTCCATATGGACCACCACTATGACGTCACACATTTCTCAGGTCGATAAATTAAAATGAAAGCCTTCTAAACTAGCACTAAAACCCCTAGAACTGGCCCGGCAAGGTGGTAATAATACTTGTTTATGTACATTTTATTATGTCCCCACCACATAGTGTGGGGCCATATTGTCGGCCTAGGCGCGTCCGTCCGTCCGTCTGTCTGTCCGTCTGTCTGTCCGTCTGTCTGTCCGTCTGTCCGTACGTCCGGCAGTTTTCTCCAAAACCGCTACAGATATCACCTTCAAATTTTCAGGGATAACTTATGAGTGCATACAGATGTGGATGAAAAAAAATTAACTCGATACCTACTTCCTGTCGGCCATTTTGAAGTCAAATGCTAAAATCCTTGTCTGCAAACTTTAAGAAAAACTGCTTCACAGTTGCTTTTAAAACTTTAACATCTTGTTCAGCTCACTTCATTCTAGATCTGATTAGGTTTTGGACCTGCTAGCTCAGTCATGTCAGCCATTTTGAATGTCTTAAGAAAAGTTAGCGCGCGATAATACTTTGTATCATATTGAATGGTGTTTTTGAGTTTTCATACTTCAACTATTTAGTAGCTTTATAAATAATTTCAGATGTACTTTGCTGTAAAAGCCTACTTTATTGTTAACAGTAGTTATATGTGATAATTTTGTAAAAAGAAATCAGCAAAAACTCATAAGGACTTTTTTATTGTCGGCCATTTTGGATTTTTCGGTCCTAAAATCTTGTCTGTGAAGTCTTGTCTGCGCGTTTTCAGGTGAACCGTTTGGTGGATCAATTTCAAATTTTCAGAGATGATTCTTAGTATAAAAATCTAGATCTCATTAGTTTTTTGGCATTCTGGGTAAATGTCAAGGCAGCCATTTTGCATTTTCCGTCCTAAAATCTTGTTTGTAAAGTCTTGTCTACTCGTTTTCAGGTGAACTGTTTCGTAGATCAATTTTAAATTTTCAGGAATGATTCTTAGTATGAAAATCTAGAACTGATTAGTTTTTTTGCATTCTGGGTAAATCTCAAGGCAGCCATTTTGGATTTTCCGTCTTAAAATCTTGCCTGTAAAGTCTTGTCTACGTGTTTTTAGGAAAACGGTTTGATAGATCAATTTCAAATTTTCAGGGATGATTCTTTGTATGAAAATCTACATCTGATTACTTTTTTTGCATTCTGCGTAAATGTTAAGGCAGCCATTTTGGATTTTCTGTCCTAAAATCTTGTCTGTAAAGTCTTGTCTACCCGTTTTCAGGTGAACCGTTTGGTAGATCAATTTCATATTTTCAGGGATGATTCTTAGTATGAAAATCTACAAACAGATTAGTTTTTTGACATTCTTGGTAAATGTCAAGGCAGCCATTTTGGATTTTCCATCCTGAAATCTTGTCTGTAAAGTCTTGTTTACATGTTTTCTGGTTAACTGTGTGACGGATCAATTTTTAAAATTTTCAGGGGTGGTTCTTAGTATGAAAATCTAGAACTGACTAAATTTTTGGCATTCTGGGTAAATTTTAAGGTGGCCACTTTGGATTTTCCGTCCTCAAATTGTGTTGGTAAAGTCTTGTCTACTCATTTTCAGGATAACCATTTCACGGGATCACCACTTGGTGGGGACATTTTGTACACATTTGTGTTCTTGTATGTTATTGTTTTTTCAGATGTTGGCCCACGTATGGGTGTAATCAGTATGGTGGATAGCTACATGGCCCAACAAAAACTGAACAACTACTTACACCCTCCTTCCCACAAAACAGAGGGCATCTCTAACTGAGGGCTTCTCACACTCACTCTCTGAGGGCATCTCAAATTGAAGATTCAGAAATACAGGGGAACCAAAAACATTAATTCATGAATGGTCCCTAATGCAGACTGAGCAGATATTAAATTACAGAAAAGCCAAAAGTTGACATTGCTTTTTTCAAAAGCAGTTTTTGAAATACAGAAGAACCAGAAATGCCCCTCGCCTAAAATCAAAAGCAATAGTGTAATTGTTGATAAGGCGAGAGAATAAGGCTGAAAAACAGCTATGAAAATACAGGTGGTTCAAAAACTAAGATAAAGCATCCTGCTAATTAAGAAAATACAGTGAACAATAGATGTTAGTCCCCTATGAACTAGATACAGTGAATAATGTGGACAGTATGAAACATGGCCAGAGTCTATAATATATAGATATAAAAATGTTGTTGTTGTATTTTCACAACAAACATTATCTGTAACTGTAAAACACTGTAAAGCATCATAATGTGTATAATATTTGTCTTTCTGAATATCAAATGACTCCAATAGACTCATGTCCCTAAACTGATTCAGTGTCGCTGAACTGATCTTGGAACAAGGAAACTGATTTCTTAAAAATATTGTGTATTGGGATGAAATTCAATTATCTCATGATATTGCAATATATGTTCTATACCACTGAATTTAACCTCCTGAAATTCACAATATTATCAAGAAATAGGGTCTAGGATAAATTGACCATGTTTTTATCAGCTCAGTTTCCCTAGGCCTAACACTTGTATGTATTATAGTGTTAAGTGCAAGACATATAGCCTAGCTGGGTTGATGATACATTATTAGCGACTTTAGCTATTTCTCCATTGTTATTTGTTAATGTGTTTACATGTAAATGGTGATTCTTGTTCCACTGCCATATTTAATTAATTGTGGATTGTATATAGCCCTGTAGGCCTGTATATATCTATATAAATGTCAAGGATTGTTACATATTGCAAGAAAACAAATTGTTCAGAGTACAGGGTGTTCACATATATGGAAATGGTCCTGGAGGTTATGTTTATTCCATGATTTAGAAGGCATGTAGTCTACACTTAAACTTACTAAAATATCAGAAGTTGAGACAGTTCGTTCGTTTAGTTTAGAGAGAAAGGATTGAAAGCAGAGAAGAATTAAGATGATCATCTGTGACCATTATGACACCTTGTAAGATGTACAATACTATATTTTATCCCCCCCCCCATGTTAAAACACTATTCCTCTATCATATTCACCCTCAAGATAAATCTTATATCTAAACTTCACTTGTTCTATGTTACATTTTACATATTATATTAGTGTTATTGTTTATTTGTCTCAAAATTAAGGCCATATGAACATCAAAAGCAAATTTCAGTTAGGTGATATGTCTCTTGGCATATTTTCTAGTTGCTGTCTTTATATAATATTATACTTCTATTTCAATGTGAGAATTTCTCACTTGATTGTACTGCATTTAGTGTCCATTTATAGAGGTATCTTCATTCATACCTTTTGATCAATTTGAAAAATGATCCAGAAGCCAAATTTTCAAAAGAATCTAACTTGATGGCATGTTTATAACGGTCTCTTGCATCAATGTCATGATTTTATGCACACAGCTCTTTATTTAGTATGAATAATTTATCAATCCATGACATTAGAATCATAGATGTTGGGCCAATAGGTGGCATAGTAATCAGATATAGTAAACAAACTGATCATTGCGCCACCTAGTCTCACCATTTATGCTTAGAATCTCAATGAGAATTCAGCATAAATATCAGCATAATAGAAGTATATACATGTCATGGGATAATATTTTGTAGACTTATGATATAAAAGAGTTGTGCATTGGGATATTTTGGACAGAGGGTTTATCCTGAGGTTAATTGGTGTTTCGCCCAAGAGACAGAGTGAGATACACATATTTCCCAAGGGATGAACCCTCTATCCAAAACAAACTATGCATAGCAAATGTAACCCATGTCTACTGTGGTTTTAGTTTAGGGACATTATACCAGGTTCCAAAATATTAAAAAAGATAAATTAATGTCAGTTTTGAAACTTTAAATACAAAATTATTCAGAACCTAGAACCTTAGTAGGTATGGGATGTTGAATTTTAAATTATTATCAATTATGACTGGAGAATTCATAGAAATGTTGTGACAAAAATCGAGACTGGAAAAAGTTTCATCCAAATCACATTTTATAGAATTTTAGAGTGACTGACATTGTCTTATCAGTCATGTTTTTTTCTAATTCATTGTTTTTCACATTGTTGGCATATTGCATCTTATGTAAATTAAGCTACTGTGTTATTAATTGTACAGTTATTGTATGTATTATGCTAATTACAATATCGTTTTGTATCATAAACATGATTGTTATGTACTCTTTTATGACTTCGTTGATCAATTAGTACCCATTCCAAATATTTAGATGACAAGAGACTCAGTTGAATGATTTATCCATAAGGAAACGCATAATTTAAGATCCTTTAAATACAAAATCCATACATGGTTACCTTGAACTATAAATGTGACTTTGACCTTTTTGACTCCAAAAGAACAGTCCTGAGGCCTTATCACGCGCTCGTCGCAAGATTTGCGTCTGCGTCGCATTCGTGAATCTCCAATATGCGCTGGCGCAACTCCTGCTTTGCGTCTTATCACGGGGTTGTCAGCAACGCAGATCGCAACGTAAGTGGTAGTTTACCACATGCGATCGCAAACATGTAGAATTCCAACTAAATATAATTGTCAGGGAAACCATATTAATAAAATACAATGTCCGAGCCTCATACAAATACTTATCTTGAATCAAAAACTATCAAAGTGTAACGATATCACACATAATCACTTATCTTAAAGTTCAATTTTCATGGGATTTATTTCTAAGCATATTATACTTGTACATCATTACATGAATCTCGAGATCGGGAACACATTAATAGTTGAATATCAGTACACAGATTCTCACCCGAGTGCACCCTCGTCATCACATACTCTAATCCAAGTGCACCCTTGTCAGTACACACTCTCATCTTAGTGCACCATCGTTAGTACACACTCTCATCTGGGAGCATCGTAGTTGAGTGTGTTATCACAAGGGTGCCCTGGTTTTATTTTAAGTGTACTTACAAGGGTGCACTCGTCTGGTAAAAGTATTTAGTGTCGAGGGGGCACCCGACGTGGTTTCACACGGGTGCACTCGGATGAGAGCATGCATGTACTGACTGACGAGTGTACACTCGGGAGAGAGGATGTATTGATCATTTGATGTGTGACTTCAGTAAACAGTTTCATATACGATCGTATATTTCAAACTTTAAATAAGTTCGCCTTCTTCTTGGAGCAGACAACTTCTTGGAGCCAAACATTATATCAGAACGTTTGCTTCTAGATGACACCCGCTCCTAGACGTGGTCCAAAGTCGTTTTTTATTTACTTCTAAAAGTATTGTGAGGGTAAAGGACCGTTTCAGTTAAATTCCAATATTCCACGTACATATTTTAAATTATTTCAATACCATCGAAACACCGATACCGATATGCGTTCGATGGGGGGTCAATGTAATTTTTACTAATAACAAATCTCTACTTTATACTAGTACCTTTTAATACCTTTAAAAAAGAAATACCTTGATTCACTGAAGTCAGTGCATATCGAAAATTACAATATACTGTACCTTAACATTATAGTTGACACCCCTCCCACCAAGTACCTCCAGACAGATGCTTGGGTTATTCCAAATAAGTCCCTATTTGTCATTTGTAAGTTGCCTGTTGCAAAGAACCTCAAAGTTATGCCCATTTTTAGCGATGTCGGAATGAATGTTGAGTTTCGTTTTCTTGGATTTGAGATCAGAATTTGGATTTAATTATAAAATTCGAAGGTTTTAAACACCCCTCATACCATTAGCCTAACGTTTCCTTTGATTTAAGCACTTTCGAAAAACACAAACTAGGCTATATAACGTTTTATTACACAGTCTTCTTAAGAAAAGAACATACATCCGCCTCCATAAGTTTGGCAACCTTTGCTCCCCCATTGAACTACGTGTTAAAGCCTCTTTACGTTTGAATTTTTATTTACTTAACCGGCTATTAAATAACTTATGATATTGATGGAAACGTAACTTAACTTTATTTCCAATACCTCCGAATTTTCTCAATTTTTTCCTCAATTACAATAGGTCGAAAATTGATGATAAATTTGATGAATTTTTGAAAATCGTCATTCCCATGTAATCCAATGGGAAATGGTAGGTTTGCCGCAAGTCATATGACAGAATATCCATCCATCTGAGTCCTTGCAAAAATACGATTTAGGCAGGCAATTGAATTTGCTAACTTTATTCAACAAAAAAATGATATGTTTCTTCAGGTTCAACAAAGTTATAGGGCTTTAAAGTCAAAATTGTTTTTAAAAAACACCTCCCATTGAAATAACACAGGAGGCGAAAAACTATTTTCAAAAATGACTTTGAAGCGCTGTAACTTTAGTATTCATCAAATAAACTAAACACTCATTGTACAAAAAAGATTATATTATGTTACATGTAGGTATATAAAATGGTATTAACAATTACTTGAAGGATGTACAATGTAGAAATGTTACAAACTAGATAACGGCAACTCCGCGGAGTAGCAAATCCCAACGAACAAAATACAAAATATCAATTACCGAATTCCAATCAATTATACTCATTACTTTGTTTAAAATTGAAAAAATTAGATTTTAGAATTGCGAATTCCTGCAAAGCAGCCAAATCTGAAAAATAATACCATAATTGTGATCTACTCCAAAATGCCTTCAATTTGAGTATAATATAGCCATACTTTGAAGGGATCGAAAAATTATTGCGAAATCGTACATTAGACGGCCATTTTGAATTTTACGAAGCTCGAATCAGAAAAAAGATACAATGTTTGCAATCTACTCTTAATTGCCTTTCGTTGAGTATAATAAAGCTATACTTCAGAAAGATCTAAAAATTAGTGAAAATTTCTGTTTTCCTGACCCCCCATACACGGCCCCTGGGGGTCAGGATGAAAAACACAGAATATATGTGAAATAGATAAATGTTGTAAATATACTACCAAATTTTCAAACAATGATATTGATTGCTTTGGTTTAGAATGAAAAATTTATGATTTTTGCGAAAATGTCCCGTCATTTTTAAAGCGGCGGCCATCTTGAAAAAAAGAAAATCCGTGGACTATTTTTTTTACATATTATTTATTTCCTTCATAATCAAAAATACACAAAATATCTACTACCAATCGCCATAGGCATTCTAGATAGTTTAAATTACAATAGATGATTAATTACAGTAATTATAGATGGTTTATTGGTAATGTGAGAGGTTGGGAGGGACGGGGGGGGGGTTGTCACAAGATACAAATGAGAATAACATTAATTTGATGGAAACTTATAACAGGCCTGTACAAATTGCATCACTATATCTATCAGGATTTTCTGAGAATCAATAGTGAGTTCATTTTCATAAATTTAGTATTTGACCTGTTCTGTCTTACTAGAAATAAGTTGAGTATCAAACAATAAATTTTGTTCACGAAGTGCAGTCATCATTTTATTACGTTCATGGGTATGGCGAGGGCAGGTTAGAATGAAATGCTTTGTGTCTTCAGTAGAGCCACAGAGGCATTTGTTGTCAATTATTCCAGTAAAATTATGAGTGAAGAAATGGTCTTTTAAGGGCAAAATCAACTCGAAGCCTATTTAGCATGCGCAGTTTTTCGTTGGTTCTACTTAAATTTAGTTTTGTAGTTGGTATGAAGTTTGAGATAGGGATAAATATCTGTTTAACAGAGCTTTTGAATCTAGAAATGGTTTGAATTTCACGAAAAGTCTGGCTTAGCTGGTTCTAATCATTTATATGTTTTAAAACTGGTGCTTTTGAGAGTCTCATTGAAATATTTCTTGGGCAGGAAAAGGGTAAAGAGTGTCTTTAAATTCTAGTTGCTTGGTTGCGATGTTGGTCAAAAAGACTATGGACATAATAAGGCACTTCCTTTCTTACAATTTTGAACATCAGTCTTAGATTTTTTCGTGTCTTTTGTCAGTAAGCGATTTCCACTGTAAACATTTTAAAGTTTTTGAGGTGTTAGAGTCATGCAGTACCCCAGCACATATAACAGCAGCTTGGTAGTGGATTTTATCAAGCTTTGACAAGGCCGCCAAGGATGACGATCCGTAAATGGAGCTACAATAGTCAAAATGAGACGCCAAGTATGAATTATACATTATTTCAAGATGGTGCGACTGTATTGCCCCGAACCGGTCCGTCTTCTTGCTGCAAGCAGGAGGAAATTCTTTGTCACAAAGTTTGGCATTTTTTATAAAATCAAACGCGCGTCATTGAAACTCACAAGATGTAAATAGCATGTCATTTACATCATACCTTGATGGGGAAAAATAGACCTTATGTGTTAGAAGTACTAAATAAAAGTTATCGTGAAAATGAGACATAAATGTAAATGAAAAGAGCATTAATGCGCATTTAGAGAGTTTTGGTCCGTTTAAAAATCTGTAAAAAATTGGGGTACTTAAAAGCATCGGGAGGCATCATATATTTCAAATTAGACACGAGGAAGTCAATATTGAGCAAGTTATGGCTGTTTTAAATTCAAATAAAACCGTTAACCCGTACCGGTCCAGCTTTTGACCCGTACCGGTCAATTTTCGTTAGCTGCGTATACCAAGGGTGTGTTAAGACATGTTTATGGGGCTCATACTTAAAATGGGAATCTTCACAATTGCAAATCATTTCATCAAAGTCAGAGTGGTCAAAATCTGATACAGTTTTGTTGTAATTAAAAATTTCCTAGCGATTGTATCAGTGTATTTATATGATATTGATAGTACCACTTGATATTCAAAATAAGCAGGTATCTTACTAGTTACATTCTTGTCATGTAACACTCTGAATAAGTTAATATGTTCGATACCTTTATTATGAAAAAATATTTTGATTACACTGTAACACGGTGCCCATGTCAAGCTGCGCGCCTACTTAGGCGCGCAGTTTGTTTCGATCACAAACTGCGTGCCTAAGGACATTGCATCATTTAAGTTGGAGTCTGTATTTTGAAACGTAATTTAAAGACATTTATCCTGCATTGTTTTCTTGTTCAATGCGTTCATTCTGTGGCGAATATACGAATCTTGCAAATACTAGCAAAAACTATGTGCAAATGAATCTAAGTTTTAAAACATAAGCAGATTAATGGCATTTTCGTCACTGATTTAACGGGAATGTATATACGTAAATCGATCTAGCACTTTAAACATAAATGACAAATACTTTAGACTCGTTTCATATTTAATTCCTTACACATTTATCATGTATAA